TTGCCCGAAATTCGAAAGGGATTTTCATCTGCCAGCGCAAATATGCTCTTGATATACTTTGTGAAACTGGATTTCTGGGTGCTCGACCGGCTTCCACTCCTCTTCCTCAGAACCAACGACTGGCTCTAGCAAGTGGCCCACTTCTCACTAATCCAGAGCGTTATCGCAGACTTGTAGGGCGCCTCATCTATCTCACGATTAGTCGTCCTGACTTGGCATATGCGGTTCATGTGTTGTCTCAATTCATGGGGGAGCCGCAGCAGGAACACTGGGACGGGGCGACCCAGGATCTACGGTACATCAAGGCCTGTCCCGGGCAAGGATTGTTTCTTCCAGTACAGAGTGATCTTACCCTTAAAGCTTTCTGTGACTCTGATTGGGCTGGGTGTCCCTTGACTCGACATTCTGTTATTGGCTACTTTATCACTCTTGGCAATTCTCCGGTATCTTGGCGAACAAAGAAACAAAGTGTCGTTTCCCGATCTTCGGCTGAGGCCGAATACAGGGCTATGGCAACCACTGTTTGTGAACTAAAATGGCTGAAATCCCTGCTTCTCTCCCTTGGAGTGCGTCACAAACAACCCATGCGGTTGTTCTGTGATAATCAGGCAGCCCTCCATATTGCAGCTAATCCTGTCTTCCATGAGCGTACGAAACACATTGAAATTGATTGCCACTTTGTGCGTGACGAAATCCAACGAGGTGTTTTGTGTACTCGCCACATCTCCACCAATGAACAACCAGCAGATCTCTTCACAAAGGCTTTGGCTTCCGCTCCGTTTTCTCATTTGCTGTCCAAGCTGGGCGTCCAGAATCCGCATGCTCCAGCTTGAGGGGGGGTGTTGGGCCGTGTTCCTTAGACCACCAGACAAGAAGGAAAGCAAATCCCATTCTAAGTGGGATTGCTCTTGATTTGTTTTCTAGTTCATATTTAGTGATTTGTTTCCATGTAGGAGTAGAATTCCTTTTGTGTTTTGGTCTTTTTCCTCTCCTATAAATAAAGGAGAAACCCCTTGTAATTGGAAGAACAATTCAATATACAAACTATTTTCTCTCTTATTAATTTCTACAAAATATTATAATCTAAAGTGGTAGGGAGGGAGTATAACAACATATGTCTCTTCATGTAATTGGTCAAAAAACGATGGGGGAAAGTTGAATAAGATGAGCTTTTGTGTTGTTGAATTAGCAAACACCTTACAAAATTTACACAAAAATACTCTTAGGGCCCGTTTGGTACATGGAATTCAAACTATGGAATTGGAATTGGAGACTTCAATTCCAATTCTAGTGTTTGGTAGGACAAAAATTATGTAGATTTGAATTGATAGTGCAAAAAAATAAATTGAAATTGACAGAATTTAATTCTATAGAATTGAATCCCATGGAATTACAATTCCACCAATTCTTTATACCAAACGGTCCCTTAGTCATATTCTGTACATAAAAATTCGTGCTACAAATATAAAAAATAAATAAAAATCATGTTTTTTCATGTAATATTCCCTATTGTAAACTACTCCCTCCGTCCAAGTTAAAAACTTCTCGTTTTGACTTGGCACGACTTTTAATGTGAAATGAAAAAGAGTTTGACTTTCCAAATTTGCCCTTCACCTAATCCTTCTCTCTAGTTCCTTCTTCTTCGTACCCACCCCACGCCACTTTAATCTCCAATGACAACAAAAGTCATCTTTCAAAGGGTATTAATGACGTAATTTTGCAGAAACATTATTTTCATCCGTAGAATCTGTGTAAACTTCATGGTCAAGAGCCAATATTGAAGAAACCCAATCATCTCCAGCACATGAATGAATCGGGGAGAGGAAATCTGAAATACCCCTATAAATTTAAGGTTAAGCATAAAAAATCTAAATTTAAGTTTCAAATCTAAGAAATTGAAGCAATATAAAATCTAATCTAATTTTCAAATCTAGAAAATTGAAGACATGTAAAATAAGATCTAGGTTTGAAATCTAAGAAAATAAAGAAATTAAAAACGAATGTGAGGTTTAAGATTTAAGAAATTGGAGAAAGAGGAAGAATGAGAATGAGGAAACGGGGGAAGGAGCGTGGTCTCGCGAAAGAAAAGAAGGAAGAAATAGGGCGAGAGGGGGGAGGGGAGATCAGAACTCACGCAGAAGAATAAGAAAGAAAAGTGAAAGAGAACTCAAGCAAGTAGGAGAAGTGGAGAAATGAAGAAAGAGAAGAGGACGAAAGAGAGAGAGAGAAACAATAAGATAAGAAAGGGTAAAAGGGTAACTTTAAGTGTATTTTATTTCTATTTTTAGAAATGCGAAGAATCAAGTGGGACGACCCGAAAAGAAAAGTGAGAAGAAAGACATGGGAGGGAGGGAATACTAGACTACCCATGGAAATCTCAAGTACTACGTAAGAACTAATTATGGGGGGCAGCTATCTTCAAACTAATTTTTATTCTTTTCATTCTTTCGTGCCAAATTTAAGTTTGGTTGAGATTAATATTGATGGGTGTATTTCACCCACGACCGGTCAAAGGTCAGAACCGGATAGTTGACCGGTCAGAGAGGTCAAACTTTGAAGAGAGATCTGAATCGTCGGCAAATGGACCACTGATTGACCAAAGAGTTGACCGGTACACTTCGGATAGTATACCGGTCAGATTACTCCATCAGCAGGAACCAATTCCGAAGACAATTGATCCAAACCTTCAGAAATCAACCGGTGTAGTTCCTAGAGAATTGGGGAAGTGTCGGCAAGAGGAATCCAAAAGGACTTGGACTGTAGTGTTTGGAATTGCAGGGATGCTGAGGGAATATTTCCAAACCAGAACGCGACAAGGGTGCCACCCCCCGCGCAAGATGACAAGGCAGCTCAGAGCCAGTCACTTCACACCACGCCAGCAGCATGCCCCCACGTGGGCGCACGTGGTCCTGCTCCCCAGCCTAGTATATATACCTCTTGTAACCTTCGAATGAGGGGATCGGAATTCATTCTCTCTAAACTCCCTTGTAAAAGCACCCGTGCATTCTCCGTTATAATATAAAGTGGGCTACAGGTGTTCCACCTAAAGTCCTACCGGTCAATCTGCGTGTTTTTACCTTTCTTACTTTGCCAAATCAAGCAAACTATTCTAGACCCGGTCTAGTATAGTTTG